GCAAGCAAAGCAAGGGAGGGTAAGCGGCCTGGGTGCGCACAGCCGTGCGGGTGTGCAAGTGCCCACTCGCGCACCGACAGCACGCAGGTAAATGTTGGTACAGCGCCTCCAGCATCTTCAGATGTGCAGGGGACACACGTGACACGCGTGGGGCAAGCATGGGTGTTAACACACTGGGCCCATCCATGCCAAGCGGGCACAGAGAAGCAGTCCGGGGCGGGGGCAGTGACGTCGCCCATCTCAGGAGTGACCTGCGCGCCGCAGGGGCCCACCGCGGGCCGAGCTTTGAGAATGCACTGCGCGCTCGTGTGCGTGCAGCCGTGCGCGTTCACGAGGGGTAGCGTGGTGATGAGCACGTGTGTGCGTGTGAGTCTGCACGCGCAGTGTGCGTAGCGGGCACAGAGAAGCAGTCCGGGGCGGGGGCAGTGACGTCGCCCATCTCAGGAGTGACCTGCGCGCCGCAGGGGCCCACCGCGGGCCGAGCTTTGAGAATGCACTGCGCGCTCGTGTGCGTGCAGCCGTGCGCGTTCACGAGGGGTAGCGTGGTGATGAGCACGTGTGTGCGTGTGAGTCTGCACGCGCAGTGTGCGTGTAAGCCAAAATACAGCGAGACAGGGTGTAATTACCGGCACTTACCGCGGCCGTTACCCCCCTCACCGCTGCCGTGACACAGCTTGGCGTTTGCACCATTAAGGGGCCTCATTAGCATCCCGGCTCAGAAGCAAAATTACCCTCACTGCTCATTTCAAGATGTCATCAATTTTAATTTAGGGCCCAAAGATAGTACAATGGGAAGGCCCTGCCTGCGGCCGCCGCACACAGAGAGCAGGGGGTGGAGAGGCCAGGCGAGGGGGAGAGGGACAGAGGTGGCAGGCAGAGGGGAGGACACGTCCACCCCCAGGACCCTAACCACGCTGGAAGGTCCACATTACTTTCCCCGCTGCAGATGGGGAAACTGAGGCAGCAGGGCTCCAGCACACAGCAGCCCACATTAAGTGCAGGGCTGATTGACTTTGCTGCTCTCTGCCTTCCTGGACCCAGAACTGTGGCCCTGGGGAAGGAAGGGGCTCCCAGGCACCCGGCCTTGCACTCCAAGACCCAGCTGTGACAACCCCTCCCAGCTTGGGCCAGACCAAAGTGGGTGCCTCCAGCCTGGCCGGTCCTGCTACCCTCAGCTCAAGGACTCTGTCTGGGCTCAAAGGGACCCTGGGTGGGGGCTCCCAGCTTCCCCCCCACTGTGCAGATGAGAGGCTTCTGCTCTACAGGGATTGGACAGGGGCTCGAGTTGGCCATTTCAGTCTGTCTCCGAGAGTGCAAGAGTGAGTACGCCACCTATCGGTTGGATGATTGCGTGACTGAGTAATACACAAACGCACTGCATCTGGGAACAGAAATCCTGGTTCGTCCTCCCCAGACTTCACAGCTACTGGCCATCCTAACCCGCAGCGAGGCGCAGTTTCTCCCAGGGTAAAGGAGGAGGCTTGTGATGGGCAGGCCAAGGGCACAGGCTGGGAAACAGGGCACCACCAACCACGGAGAGCCCCCTCGGCCCCCTGTCCATTACCCCAGCCCCCAGCTGAGAGGCGAGGGGACCCCATGCTGAGGCCAGGACCAGTTCCTCACTGGCGACAGGCACCGCTGCCCAGCCTCACCAAAGACGGATCGCTCCCTTAATCACTCTGGAAAAGAACCCCAAGCCGATATAATATTATAATTAATTAATTCACTAAAAAGGTATTAAATTTCTCTCCCCCCTGTGGATATTATCTGAATTCATTGACCTTTAGAAAAATCACACTCTAATTGTAACCAGGTCCAAAAGCATTCGCAGCCCATCACTTTTACATTAATAATATCTTCCCAGCCTGGGCTCCGGCTGCTTAAATATTGTATAAATTCCACTGGCCCCTTGGAAAAGAGAGAGCAAAGAAAGCAGACAGGGCTGGGGAAGCCGGGAAGGGGTCTTGGAGGGGGCGGGGCACTGGGGGGCTCTGAGCTGCCTGTCACCCGGCAGGTGGCTGGGGGGCCGGAGGTTAAGCTTGGGGTCGGGTTTCAGGGGCTGTGTGTGGAGAGAGGACCATGTGTGTGTTAACGGCCCCACATAATAAAGGAAGAACCCCGAGACAGAGAGAGATGGCAAGATGGAGATCTTTAGCAAATGGGAAGGGGAACAAGAGGTGCAGGCAGGGGAGTGGAAAGAGATGGAAAAAGAACTGAGCTGTGTGATGTATGCATACGACTTCTCACGATGAATGCAGTGACTTGCTGCAAACACAGACTAATAAAAATTAAAAATCTCAAAAATGAATTTAAAAAATGACCCAGGGTGGTAGAAACCAAAGGAGCTCCAAGCAGGGTGATCTGAAGTCTCCTGCCCCCGTGGGGCTGATGCAGGGGAATCCAGAGCCCCCGCCGGGAGGTGGGTCCCAAGTGAGCATCAGGTCTGACAGATGGACAGACAGATGCAGGACCCAGAGCAGAGGGCAGTGTGGCCCAGGCCCAGGACACACTCTGTGCTTGCCACCTCCCTCCCCCAGAGCCCTGACTCCTCCCCACCTAGCCTGGACCCTTGGGGCCATCCCAAACACAATTCCACTCCTACCTCAGCCTCAGGCTGTTCCGGCGTCTTGGAGGAGTTTCCTCACTGAAAGAAGGGGCCCAGCAGGAACCCCTGCTTCCCAGCACACCTCCCCACTGCACTTTTAAAAAGAAATTCTCAGCTGGGTGGGTCGTGGACACCTGTAATTCTAGCACTCTGGGAGGCTGAGGCAGGAGGACTGCCAGTCAGAAGCCAGGCTGGGCAATTTACCAAGACTGTCTCAAAATAAAAAATAAAAACTGCAGTTCAGTGCGAAGGCCCTGGGTTCAAATCCCCTGTGCAAGGATGGAAACAAAAGGGGAAGGAGGGAGGAATAGAGGCAGGAAGCGGGGGGGGGGGAGGCCGGCACGGAGACTCCCTGTGGACCCATCTAGAAAGGTGCTGCCCCGCAAAGCAGAGCAAGGCTGAGGATGCATCCCCCCACGTAACGAACTCCCCTCCAGCCCAGCTGAGGGGAGAAGCCCCATGGCCGCCCTGACAGGTCGGGACTGACGGGAAGCAGCACCCTTAGGGCGAGGTTCCCGCCAGCCGCCCCTCCACCCCTCCAGCCATCCTGGCCCTGTCGGGCGCCCTCTTGTGGACAGAACTCCACTCATAACCTGGGTTGCAGACAGTGCAGACCCCACAGGGGACCAGAAAGCCCCTGGGTGAGTGGAGGCGTGGGGTGGGGGACAGAGTGGCCTTGGGGGACCCTGAGTTGAAGAAACCCAGAGAGATCTCTGCCTAGCTGCAAGACCCCATACCTCCAGGGCTGGGAGAGCCCAGCCTGGGCCTCTCATCCCGCTTCGGCTCTGGGCAGGGCGTGGGGCTGCAGCCAGGAGGAGCCGGCGCCTAAACTGGCTCAGGCCTGCGAGGTCACCCACGGCTCCACCTGACCGTGAAGCTGCTCCGGAGTCCCTGCCGCCCAGGCCACCCTGGCCCCACACCCCCAGCCCATTCTCTCCCCTCGCTCGTTAATTGGCTCAGTGATGATTTGATCTCTCGTGCAGCACAGAGGAATGGCCCTCTTAGCCATTTTCATCTGGGATTTTTTTTTAAAATCAGGCTTCTTCGGCCTCTCAGGGCCCTGGGAGGTGAAGCCATTTTGGTGGAAGTCAGGATGAGGCGAAGTCCGAAAGACCACTTTCTCTGCCCTCCTGGCGCTCAGGTGGCCGCAGGGGACCCGTCCCTGACCCAAGGCCGTGTCCCTATCCTGGGTGAGGTCCTGACCTCCCAAGCCCCAGCAAAGGCCGCAGGTGGGTGGCACTCGGCCCAAAAGAGGCCTCGCTGAGGCTGAGGCTGAGGCCGACACTGCCACAGCAGTCACCTGGGTCCCACTCTCCAGACCCAGCCTAGTTCGCGGCTCCCTTCCGCACACAGGTGCCAGGACATCTCTCCTGCTGGAGGCCACATCATAGCGGAGGAGCCACCCAGGAGCTGGAGAGGCTGCTCCGGGACCGGGGCAGCTGGCCGAGGTGTCCCAAAGAGGCCGCGAGGGACCGCAGGCCCGGCTCAGGAGCTGGGCTGCGGCTGCATCCTCCAGCGGGCAGGGCTCCGGGCACAGCGGGAGATGCGGGACCGGCGTGGCGGCAGCGCCACCTTGTGGCCACAATGAGGAACAAAGCCCCCATCGGCACCAAGTCTGTAGCTAAAGCTTCTCCCACTGAGGAGCTGCAGGGTTTCGGGGGCCCTGGTGCTTGCCCCCGCTCTATCCCCCAACACTTCTGGGAGCACCCGAAGTCTGAACCCCAGAAGTCTGAATCCATGTCATCTGCCCTAGGCCGGCGCCAAAGAGACAGGACCAGAAGGTACAAAGCACAGTGTTTACTAAAGGCACAAAGTGGGGGTCCGGAGGGAGGGGAGCTGCTTTGCCGGCAGTGACCCTGCTCAGCCCCGAACCTAGGCCTCTCTTCCGGCCACACCACCCTCACCCCAGGGGGAGAGCTGTTAGCACCAAAGGCAGGTGGGTGCCCACCTGCGGGGTGGTCGGGCTGGGATCGGTTTATGGCCGGGGAGCCCCAGAAAGCGAGCCTGGGTGTCCCGGGCAGATGCCGCTTCACGGAGCTCCCCGAAGCCCCTGCGGCCCAAACCCCGACACCCGGGGTGGGGAGAGGGCTTTTCCTACCCAGGCCGCTCTGCCTCCGCCCTGCCCCTCCGGTCCACTCCCCTCCAGCCGGGCAGCGGGGCTGCCCCTAGGGGGCGC